TAGCTCCCTGTAAAATGGCCTGGGTCACCCATGCAGGAATAATTGGGCTGTCAGCTAGGGACCCACATGGCAAATTCTAATTTAATTTGACTGAAGCAGACTTAGTGCTTTCCTGGGGGAAGTGGGCTCATTTCCATGTTGAACTCGCCTAACATGTTCTCAACAGAGTGAACCGTAATGTAAATTTCCCGGCAGGTGTACACCAATGAGCCCCTCAAATATGTTGTCAATCCCAATGATATCTTGAGCTCTGAGCAAACATTTCAGTTTGATACTGGGGTGTCCATTATACTCATGGAGGACATCATATTGAGCATCTGGCTGAATGAATTATAAAGATATGATTTCTAGTTTTGATTGATTTATTTTTTCAGCTTCAACAGGGCTAACATGGTTAAGTGAAGTTCAAACCATTTGGTCCTCTCCTTTTGTGAGGACAGGGCAAGAACACAGAAAACGTGGATGGATGACCATCCACATGAGGATAAAAGGAAACTCTAGAGTATGGAGTCCATATAGGAAATCTCAGCTGGAGAGTGATTACATGGGGCTCACAGCTTTCACATAGTGACTCAGGAGATTAAGATCTCAGGATCATGGTTCAAAGCCAACCTGGGGTAGGACTGACCATGTGACTCTTTATCTCCAAAGAGCCACCAAAAAAGAGCCAAAACTGGAGCTGTGGCTCAAGTGGCATAAGACCAGCCTTGAGCAACAACAACAACAAAGCTCAAACCAGATTAAGGCTCAAACTAGATTAAGCTCTGGGACTAGAACCACGATATAAATGAAAGTAATATATAAAATAATAAATAAATAAAATTAATTAAATAAAATTAATATAAATAAAATTAATTAAATTAAATTAAAAATAAAATAAATAAAAACAATACGCAACAAAGAAGAACAACTCAGTTCCATTATCATTTGATCACTGAGGCAGTGTTGAGAACACAGATTATTAACTGTCCAGGTCCTTGCTCAAAGAGTCATTGCAAAAACCTGAACAGTGGAGGGCTGGCTAAACAATTAATTTCCATCTACCTCACCAATGTCACTGCTACAGGAGTGTGGGGACCAATTTGCTCTTCCTGGTGCTGCTGGGGACTGGGAGGAAAATTGGGGGCCAATGAATGGAAACAGCCCAGTGGGAGGCATAATCATATAGGATACATTATTTTGTCTGTCATGGGGCTTGAACTCTGGGCCTGGGAACTGTCCTTCAGCTCTTCAGCTCAAGACTAGTGCTCTACCACAGCAACACTTCTGACTTTTTCTGCTTATGTGGTGTACGAGGACTCAAACCCATGGCCTCATGCATGCAAGGCAAGCACATTCTACCACCAAGCTACCTTTCCACCCCATATAGGCTGAGTTTTGATGCAAGCCGTTCTCTGACTTCCTTCCCATTGCTACCACAGGGAAAGGGCAGAGCTTGACGAAGGACCAGGAGAAGCTGGCCAAGTTGGCCAAGAAGAGGAATATCCCCATTTCCAGTATCCAACAAGACCTTGAAACTGGTAAGGCCCAGATCCTGGTTTTCCTATGGCCTAACTGCACCTCCCCCAACCAAAAAAAAAAAAAAGAAAAGAAAAGAAAACAGAAAGATCATTCTAGAAGCTTATTACTTAGAATTATCTGGATGCACAATTGCATGTTACTTGAGTGTCAGTGATAAAGTTGGTGATGTCTGACATCTATCCCTGATCCTGTGTTCTTTTCTTTTCTTTCCTGCTCTTTGTCACAGACGATTGTCTAGAGTAAGGACACTGGCCCTGGGTACGTCGACACTGACACCTGTTGCCCTCCACCCTCCCAAATGGGAGGTATTTTTCCGTGGATGGTTTGGTTTGATATGGAAGAGATATGACTCGGTTCAATAGGGAAAGCTTTAGACGCTGAGACCCTTGGGCAATGTTCTCCTTCTAGAACTGCTTATGTTTTCCACGTGCAATCTGCACTATGAAGCAATTCACAGTGTCTCAGCGGCATTTATCGTCCTCTGCTCCCTCCCAACAGGTGGCAGCATCTTCAGGAACACATGCACATCCATCTTCCTCGTTCAAAGGGAATCAGCTCTAGGATGAAAAGCCATCCTGAACTTTCAACCATCTTTTCCTCTTTCTTATGAAGCCATCATGCTGATTCACAGTTTTGTGTCTACTTCCCTTTCTCCTGAAATTTGCGCCAGCATGACTTAAGTGATTCAATAAACCAATTCCCAAGCATCCAATTCTGACTGTAAAGATTTGAATCAATGTCTCCTGTCCCAGAAATAGCCACCCCAATTGAGAGATGGAAAATTAAGTCTGTAAGAGAACAGAAGATTCTTTGCCTTAAAAAAAAATTCTGAATAAGCCAGTTGCCGGTGGCTCATGCCTTTCATCCCAGATAACCCAAAAAGCTGACTTCTGAAGGATCCTGGTTCTAATCCAGCCTGGGCAGGAAAAGTCTGTGAGACTCATCCCCAATGAACCACTAGAAAACCGGAAGTGGCAACATATACGTGTGTGTGTGTGTAAAATTCAAAGTGGTAGAGGGCCAGCCTTGAGCTGAAGAGCTCATGGACAGCACACATGCCTAGAGTTCAAACCCTATGGCTGACAAAAAAAATATTCAGAATATAACCAGACATCTGCCACTAATCCTAGCTACTCAGTATAGAAGGGTTTGAACTCAGCTCCAAGAGACTGTGATCACCCATTAGTCACCCAAAACCCAGGAGTGGTGCTGTGGTTTACATAGTAGAGTGGTTAGAGCCTTCAACACAGAGCCTTAGGGAGAATTCCCAGACCCTGAGTACAAGCTCAGGACTGGAAAAACCCACAAAGAAACAAGGACAGAGTACTTGAGTGTTTCAGCATTAGGACAAAAAATGGTAACCTTCAAAACTGTAAGGATACCTTCATTTCTGTAGATTCCACATGAAATGTGAGGCCAGGTGGCTCTTTTTAAATTTTATTTTTAAATTTTCCTATAACCACCATGAGATTTCCAAACCCATCAGATCCTACGGAAGTGGAGTATTGGGTGTATGACTTATTAGGTTTAACAATTTTGGTGAACTCGATCTCCAGCCCAGGGTGGGACTGGAATAGCAATTATTTCATATTAAAGTATGCACACTCCTTATGCATATATACTGAGCTATGTCCTGTTAATTGTGGGTTGGGGGATGTTTAGAGGTAAACAGATGAAGTCTCCCCACTGTGGAGTTGTATGTTCAAGGCTCCTGGTGTTCCTAAGGCCTTTTTTATGTCATTCAAGAGCTCCAGCCTCTACATTCCTGGACTTACCCATGTCCATCCTTCCTATAGTCACCAGCAGTAGAGGAGAATATTTTTGTTTTTGTCAGTCATGGGGCTTGAACTCTGGTCCTGAGCACTATGCCTGAGCTCTTCAGCTCAAGGCTAGAGCTCTAGCCACATATATGGCACCATTTCTGGTTTTCTGGTGGTTTCACTGGAGATCAGAACCTCATGGACATTCCTGACTGGGCTGGCTTTGAACCTTTGAGATCCTCCAGATATCAGCCTCCTGAATAGCTAGGAAGATAGGCGTGAGCCACTGGTGCCAGGCTGGCATTCTTTATTCTTGACACAGGACAGGGCTCAGTTCTGCTGAAAGGAAACCATCACTTGGTTCATGCAGGAGAGAGTTTATTGGGGGGCAATCCAACAACTAGCGCACCAGATGTAAGCCATGCAGAGAGGTGGAGCTAATGGAAGAGACAGACTATATCTGGGAAAGAGGAAGAAGAGATGTGGACACAACCAGATATGGAAGAGACATGAGAAAAGTAACCTCAGAGGAAGTGGAAGTAATCCTAGGACCTAGAAATCCTTAGCTGATTCAGTCAGGTGACTAATAGCTACTGGTAATTACTGGGCAGGTGAACTCTGGTGAGCCTCCATTCTGTACAAAGACAAGTATGGGATTAGGGAGGTTCTGTGGGCAGAAATATCAGCACCTTTAGTTTGCCTTCCTGTATCACAACCTGAGACTAAAGCTTGGGAAATGTGGGGTACGCCATCAGTCATGGTCTTCAAAATTATTTTCTTTCCTAATGTTGAAACACTTAAGGACTCTGTAGTTGTCTCTGTGTGTTTTCAGGTCCTGAGTTGGTATCCAGGGCCTGCGCATCCTCCCTCAGGTTTTGTGTTCAAGGCTAGCACTCTACTACTTCTGGGTGTGGGGATGATTCATTGGAGATGAGAATCTCATGGACTTTCCTGCCCCTAGGCTGACTTCAAACCATGATATTTAGATCTTAGCCTTCTGGGTAGCTAGGAGCAGAAGTGTGAGTGAGCCTGGAGTTATTCTCAATAATAATAATAATAATAATAATAATAATATTACTATAGTTCTCTTATATACTTAGTTTTGCATGATTCAATTGGAGTGACTAATTCTGAGCCAGGGGACATTGATTTGAGTCTTCACAGTCAGAATTGGATTCTGAGGAACTGGTTTATTGGATCACTGAGTTAAGTCACAATAGCACAAAAAAAGGAAGAACACAAAACTTGAATCCAGATAACGACTTTCTAGGAAAGAGGAAAAGATGTGTCAAAGTTTAGGATGGATTGTTGTCTTAGAGCTGATTCTATTTGAATGAGGAAGATGGATGTGAATGCATTCTTGAAGATGCTACCACCTATTGGGAGGGAGCAGAGGGCAATCAAATGCACCTGAGACCCTGTGAATGGCTTCATAGTGCAGATCGCACATGGAAAACACAAGCACCTACAGAAGGAGAACATGAGGCCCGCATGGTCAAAGGGCAAATTTATTTCTAACAGGACCAAATCTGTGCCTGGGGCCTGGTCTTCCTAGGACAAGGAGATGGTTTCCTCAAACCTCTATCCAAGATGCATTTTTGGGTGGTAATGGCTGATGGGTAATTTGTACTGGAAATTCCGTATGTATCTTCCCTGCCCAAATGATTTCTGAGGATCTGCCCTATGCCTAAGAGAGTGCGCCAAGATGACATCCTCCACTAACTCTGAGAGTCCCCCGACGTTCATCATCTTCCATGCTTCAGATCACACATAACTGATTGTGTCCTTCTTCTCGCAATTATGTGGAGGCCAAAGTCATCAGGGAAGATTTCTGTGATAAATGATTTTTTTTCTTTCACGCAATTGTTTCTAACATATTTATAAGATGATTTCTATGCTGCTGCGTATGTCCCTCCACGGTATAAACCCTGCTTTCACTTGATGTTGGTATAATTTGTGGAGGGTAAGAGAAAAAAAAATCGTTTAACTAGGGATACAGGTGGACCCATTGCAAAAATGAGATGTACAAGTCGTTATGTCAAAAAAAGAATTTTACAACTTTGGTGGAAGGGGAGGAAGGATCGGGTGGGGAGAGGTGGGGGGAGTATGGGAATGGATGGGAAGGGGACACAAAGAGGAGGCAAAAATGCTTGATAAGAAATGTACTCGTTATCTTGCCCATGTAATTGTAACTTCTCTGTATGGTATTCTCACAAAAAAAAAAAAAAAACATAGACTAAGCCAGGCACCTGATGGCTCAGGCCTGTCAGCCTACCTACTCTGCAGGCTGAGATCTGAGGATCACATGTTCAAAGCCAACCCAGGCAGGAAAATCTATGAGACTCTTATCTCAAGTGAACCACCAGAAAACCAAAATGGTGCCGTGGCTCAAGTGGTCGAGCACCAACCTTAAGTTGACAGTGCCCAGGCCCAGAGTTCAAACCCCACGACCACCACCACCACCACCAACAACAACAAAAATCAAAACAAAAAAACAGATTCTATGACAGTCTCCTTCAAGGGAGACTGTTAACCATGGAACTCAACTTATCCAAAGAAAAATATAGTAGAATTAAAGTACCAAATGGGTTGGGCCAGGTTTGTGTCTACTCACTCCAGGGAAGCTCAGTACTCCATGGGATATACATCTGTGAAAAAGTGCAAGGAAGGAAAAAACACAACAAAATCAAGGGAGATGTTCAATATGACCAAGTTTATGCACTCACACTCGAGTACAGTGCAACTGTAGGCGAAGAACATACTGAGTCAGGATCTTAGATAGTGATTTCATTTCATGCTTTTTTTGGTATTCTATAGGAAATAGCCCTGGGCCTCACCTGGAAATGGGATAATTTGGGTGCTGGAAAATAGGATGTTGTTCTCCTTGGCGAGCTCCTCCACCTTCTTTAACTACCCTGGTCTCAGGGCCTCTAATCTCCCTGCATTCCATAGAGAGGAAAGGAGGAAGGGTGTGCGCTGGAACGTGGCCTAGATTTCCATGTGTCCCCTGAGCCACATGGGGCTGTCCCCCCACCCATGGCTTGTCACCAGCTGGCCCCCTGAGGACCAAGCTGGGTTCCCTATAGAGTGAAGGTGTGGTGACATTGATGGAAGTGAACATTTTGGGGTACACACCCTTTTAGGGTCTTTAGGATCATTCATCCGCGGTGCCCCAACAAAGTTTCTTGGGGGAACTTTGCTCAAGTTCCCCACCCGGTGCCCCCAGGGGGCTCAGAGTGAGGGAGCTCCCTGGCTGCGCCCCCTGGTCCCTAGACCACAGCCACCTCCAGGGTCCCCAACCCCGTGGGCACTCATGTGGCCAATTGCTACCAGAACCCTGGCGGGCTGTCCTCGTCCTCCCCGGAGGTTCCCCAGTACTAGATAGGAAATGTACTCATTACCTCACCCAGGTAACTTTAACCCCTCTGTACAGTATCTTTACAACAAAAAAATAAATAAAAAGAAAAGAGAAAAATAAATCACAGATACTTTCAGGCGAGGGCACCTTGAATATTTATTAATTAAGCCCATGTCTTTGCCAGTCCTTGTTAGCCTTCTTCTATCTCACTAGAACTTTATAATGCAAAGACATTACCGATATCCCAAGCAAGATTAAAGCATTAAAGAATTAAAGTCACTTAGACACAAGATTTGGCCAGTATAGGCTTTGAAACAAGAGAACCCAATATCACTTGCTCAACCAATAAAAATGATTTATTTTGTACACAAAACTGTATTAATAGGAAACTAGCTAAATAAAAGTGTGCATATCCAACATTAAAAATCTACTTTCAAAAGACAAACAAAAAATCATACTACAAATTTAGTAAAAGGAGGAATTTGAAACTGGTTACAAAATCAATATAGCAACTTTATTTCAAAGTATGTTTTGAAATAGGTTCATGGCTCAAATGGAAAGGCCTTCTGTTCAAACCTCAGTGCCATCAAACGAAAACAAAACATAAAACAAAAACCAAGCACAATGTCTTTCTATGAAGCTTTCTTTTTTTTTTTTTTAATTTAATTTAATTTTATTTGTGAACATACTGTACAGAGGAGTTACAGTTACATGGGCAGGATAATGCGTACATTTCTTACCAAGCATTGCAGCCTCCTCCTTTGTTTATCCTTCACATCCCTTCCCAGCCTCCCCCCTCCCCCCCTAATCCCAACCCTTCTCCTCCCCCCCCCCCCCCCCCCCCCCCCCCGCACCAACGTTGTAAAGCTCGTTTTGGACATGACAACTTGTACTTCTCATTGTTGCAACAGGTCCACCTGTATCCTTAAACAACTGGTTTTTCCCCATCTCCTCCACAAGTTATACTGACATCAAATATAGTGAAAGCAGGGGTTATACTGTGGAGGAGGGACATACAAAGCAACAAAGGGATAATCTTATAAATGTGTTAGAAACACATGCATGAAAGAAAAAAAACATTAAAATACACATCTAAGGGTTCATTTTCCTGACATCACATTATCTGACCTTTTCTGCTTGACTCATACATATACTAGATATTACAAATAAGGGAAACCATGGGACCTACGTTTCTTTGGGCCTGGCTTACTTCACTTAATATAATTTTTTCCAAGTTTTTCCATTTCCTAACAAATGGGGCAATGTCATTCTTTCTGATGGAGGCATAGAATTCCATTGTGTATATATACCACATTTTCTTGATCCATTCATCTACTGAGGGGCATCTGGGTTGGTTCCATATCTTAGCTATGGTAAATAATGCTGCAATAAACATAGTTGTGCTGGTAGCTTTAGTGTGGTCTTGTTTGTAAACATTAGGGTAAATGCCCAAAAGTGGGATTGCTGGGTCATAGGGGAGCTCTATGTGAAGTCTTCTAACGAACCTCCATACTGCTTTCCAAAGTGGTTGAACAAGTTTACATTCCCACCAACAATGAAGTAAGGTTCCTTTCTGTCCACATCCCCTCCAGCATCTGTTGTTGTTAGAGTTCTTGATTTTTGCCGTTCTAACTGGAGTGAGGTGATATCTCAATGTTGTTTTGATTTGCATTTCTTTTATGGCTAGGGATGTTGAACATTTCTTCATGTGTCTATTGGCCATCCTTCTTTCTTCTTCAGAGAAGCTTCTCTTTAAGTCTTTCGCCCACTTACTTATTGGGCAGTTGTTTCTTTGAGGATTTGTTGTTGGGTGGTTTAATTTTTTGAGTTCCAAGTATATTTTAGATATGAGACCCTTGTCCGTTGTATGGCTAGTAAAGATCTTCTCCCAGTCCGTGGGCTTTCTATTGATCTTGCTAGCTATGTCATTTGCCCTGCAGAAGCTCTGCAACCTTATACAATCCCATTTGTCCAACCTTTCTTTGATTTGTTGTGAAGCTTTCTTTTTAACAAAGCAGAAGTGTATTGTCCAATTAGCAGTTATTGATTTCTGGATGATACGACTGTGATTTTTATTTATATAATATTTTTCAGTATTTACCAAGCTGTCTAAAACAAGGATAAATGCATTTAGCTCTACACTGTTTTAAGAAAATCTCATACACAACAGTTGCTTAATTTTTTAAAGTACCTTTCCGGAATTACATATTAACCAATAAATAAATAAAAATAAATAAAAGAATCTGTTGCTACAAAACTGGATTGAAAGAAGCACTACACTGAGAAGACTCCAAGGCAATTTTTCGATGTGTGATGGAAAAGGGAAAGAGGATGAGATTACTATCTCAGTAGCAGAGCACAAATACTTGGAACTATAAGCTATGAGGATACATCTACCAATGTTCCCTTCCCATAATGAAGTGTAAAAAATTATCCTCATGGAAATTTGTTTCAAAGCTGGTGAACAGGAATTGGACTTAGCACATAAAAACAAGAGGTAAGTAAAAAAAAGAGGTAAGTGAGAGCAAACCAACTCCTAATGTTCCAACTCCTAATGCACTCTCAGAATAACTGGAGTTCTGAAACCATCTTGAAATTAACTTAATTGTGATTATTTCCACAGAAAAGCTTGAAGGCATTAACAAAATGCCAGAATCATGTAAGTAAGGTATTTGTGTACCATATTTATTCAGAAGCTTTTGAAATTTGAAATTTTGATTCTGGATTTGTGTTTTGGAAGAGGAAAGAATTGAACAAATGCTTACAAAGTGTTTCTCTTTTGATATTTCAAAGGATAACATTACAAATGCTTTAACTTTTGTGTAAAGAATCTGCGCAATACATCTGCTAGGAATAAAGCTAAAAAGTTGATTTTTTGGGGGGGGAACAAATTATCAAAAGTTTTTTGTAGTGCTGTGGATATTTGACTTTTTTTAATTGCTTAGATATAAAATGTCTTAGAACTTGCATACAATTCTTAGGCTTCGGTGAGTGACAAGAAACATTTTAGAAGAAAACTGTTTCCACTTCATTTTGGAACTTTGTCACACAAGTCTCCTGAGTACAAAGGAAGTACAAGGGAATAGTCCAGGAAGGAAAATGTCCTTGCATGCAGAATCATGCCCAAACAACAGCATCATGAAAGAATTCTTCAATTATCTTGGAAGAAAACCCTGAACTGGATGAGGTCTCCCTTACCTGTGCCTATGCCAAGAACTGAACAAGGATGAATGAAAATCTTCAGAAAAGGAAGGAATCTCATTTGGGAACCTAATGGTAAGAGGGTCTGCCCACTTCCCCTGGTAAGGACACGTTGCTATGGAAAACTCTTAACCCTTCAGATTCAGTACCTGACATCAGAAGATTATCCCCTTGTCTGGGGTGAAACTAACAGAGAAGCTGGGAAGGTTAAGGGAGGAGTTGATGGAGGGTTAAAAGGAAATCGTTTGGTTTTTATCAAGGAGTCAAAGAAGGCAGGCTAGTAACAGAAATTCAAAACACCGTGTCCTTGGAGCCAGTCAAACTTTTTAGCTAAAGTTTAAACCATCAGAGACCCCAGCCTCCCTCCCCATTGTGAAACAAACCACCCTTTTTAAGCCCTTGTCTCAGAGAAAAGAACTCGTTCCATCCCATTACTAGCAACAAAAAGCTTTTATTTTGTGAAATTAAAGTCCTGGCTTTAGCTTTACATATTAAATTAGCCATCTCCAAACTGTGCAGCACCACGGAAGTACTTGAGGACCTAAATATATTATGAATATTATATCTTATGTAGAGATATAGATATAGTGTCTTCATGGTCTGGGGTGTGATTTGGCCAAAATAAGTGCTAAAACTCCCATGCAGCCAAGTTTGCGAATTACTGAACTTCAGCAGTGAGGCGAGTTGGTGTAGGATATGTTTAAAAGAAAATGCAATATTACTTCTCTGGTCCATTTTAAAACTAAGAAAGAGCTAGTTTGCACGAAGCAAAACTAAGACAATAGGCTGCTGGGTACACAGAAACAGCCAGCAAGTCCTGACAACACCTTCTTTGAGCTTAATTAAAAAGAAAGACCGCGCCAACAGGAGCCTTTTGTTCCCCAGGGAACAAACGTATTTCTCACCCAAAACACCAAAACTTTGACGTGGATTGTAAGAGAAAAGGAGTCACAAACGCCAGGATTCCCAACTTGGGAAGAAAGCAGCCAGCAGCACCAGAAGGAAACCGATCCTAGCAATCGCCCATCATCCATTCATCAGAGTCCGGGGTCGGGGGTGTGGGTGGGAAGATAGCAACCAGGGTCTGCAGGGCTTTCTTCCCTAGAGCCCACACCCGCTCCTTCCCCCATCCCAACCGCACACATCGTCCGCTGCTCCCCAACAAAGTTACTTGGGGGAAGTTTGTTCAGGTTCCCCACCCAGCGCGCCCATGGCCTCGGAGCGAGAGGGCGTGGCTACTGCTGCTAGGGAGGCGCTGGGGATCCCAGGCCACGCCCGTACCACCCCCACCCAGTCCCTGGACCACTGCCTTGTCCCGGGTCGCCGACCCTGCAGGAATTCATGTGAGGCCAATCGCAACCGGAGCCCTGGGGGGCTGCCCATGTCCTCCCCGGAGGTTCCCCAGGTTTGGGGCTGGCCGGGTTCCCCCACCCTTGGCCCCTCATGATGCCCCACCTGGAGCCCTTTCCCCAATTCTGCCCACACGGCTACCACCACCGGCCCAGGCAGGGTGGTCAAGGGAGCCCCCACCTCCCTGAGGCCAAGGCCGACCGCCTACCCACCCGACAGGTGCCCGGCCCGGTCCCACAGCGCGGGGCCACTCTGGCCAGCAGCCGGGCACCCACGTCCTTCCCAAATAGGACGTATGCCGAGCACATGCATAGGAGCCCTCCCTCCTATCCTGCTACACCTGCGCTCACAGCCCGAGCTCCTAGTGGCTTCGGGCGCCTCCATCAGCTAGCCGCCTCAGCCTGTTGCCTGCTCCTCAGGCTGTGGCCAGGGGCACCCAAGAAGCCAGCGCCCAGCGGGTTTGGCGGGCACCCTCCCACAGGGCATGCTCACTCCCAGGGACCAAACGCGGGCACCTGAGTGGTGGGAGAGGCCGGGGGGCGGGCATGGAGGTGGCCCTGGAGACAGAGCATGCACTGTGTGTGCTCCTTACCTGTGGGCCAATCCCCCTACCCTCCTTGAGCAGTGGGCGGGATCCCAAGATGGTGGCAGGGAGGTGGATGGAGCTGGGCCAGCATCCCTCCTTCACTGAGGGGCAAATTTGCTCAGGTCCCACACCTGTAGTTTCCTTCCCTAGTTCCTATGTCAATGAATGTGTTAAACTTTTATGGAGTACATTGAAAGGGATATAGAGTATTCTCTGGGAATAGGGGGCCCATTACATTTGGATTTGGGACTTCTTTGGGCACATTTATATCTGCCCTCTGTTCGAATAGGTTCAGAGGTTAATAGATTACGTAGTGCATGAAGATCATGCAGTACCTAAAACTGTAAACCCTAACAAGGCAAGGAATAATAGGTAATATACTTACTTCTAAGTCTGCCCATTTTAGATCTCCGTCCAGTACTGTGGGGAAGGAGAAAACACATGCTTATTGGGGAAATCGTGAATACTTTACAAAGGTTGAAGTGGTACAGCATCAAAGAAAATGTCAGCCTCTGAAAGGAGCAAGTCTAACCTGATTATTATTCACAGCAAAGGGTTAAAACGGTGGCTGCAAAGACAATTAAAGCTCATCTGGAAATAAACTTTGAAACTTAGTCCAGGATTTCAGAATTAGTTCATGAATAACTTAAGACATTTAAAATGGTGGTCAGAGAAATAGTGGCTTAATTACAGAAAATATAAAGACTTTAAACTTGAACGCGATAGTACATATTCCAGGTGAGAAGCTATAAAATCTGAAATTCAAGTGTGGTTATCAAGAATGCATAATCATACAAAGTTCCTGTTTGGAGTTGATTCTGGTGCAGGGTGATATATAAGGATCTAGCTTTAGTTTTCTACAAGTAGTTAACCAATATTGCCAGCAGTATTTACTGAAGAGGCTGTCTTTCTTCCATTCTATTTTTTTAGCTCCCTTATCGAAGATTAGATGGGTATAGGTCTGTAGATAAATTTCTGGGTTTTCAGTTCTATTCCATTGGTCCTGAGGTCTGTTCTTGTGAAACTACCAAACTGTTTTGATTACTATAGCTTTATAGTAGAGTTTGAAGTTTGGTATTGATATTCCTCCAGCAGCGTTCTTTCCATGCAGGAGCGTTTTTGCTATTTGGGGTCTTTTATTACTCCATATGAATTTTTGGATTGCCTTTTCTATTTCCTTGAAGAATGAGGTTGGAATTTTGATAGGTATCGCATTGAATTTGTAGATAGCCTTGGGAAGTATTGTCATTTTCACGTTGTTAATCTTTCCAATCCAGGAGCATGGGAGCTTTTGCCATTTTCTAAGTTCTGTTTTGATTTCCTTTTTCAAGTTTTTAAAGTTTTCATCATAGAGATCCTTCACTCCTTTGGTTAAGTTAATTCCTAGGTATTTTATTTGTGTAGGGCTATTACAAATGGAGTTGTTTTCCTAATTTCAGCCACACTTTACTCAGTGTTGGCATACAGAAAAGCCATTAATTTTTGGAGGTTAATTTTATACCCTGCTACTTTGCCAAAGTTTTGAATCAGCTTGAGTAATTTAGGAGTGGAGTCTATGGGATTCTTTAAATACAAGATCATGTCATCTGCAAAGAGTGAGAGTTTTATTTCTCTTTCCCTATTTGGATCCCCTTTATGTCTGCATCTTTTCTTATTGCTGTAGCTAGGCATTCTAATACTAGATTGAAGAGAAGTGGAGAGAGTGGACATTCTTGTCTTGTTCCTGAGTTAAGAGGAAATGGCTTTAGTTTTTCACCATTAAGTATAATGCTGGCTGTAGGTTTGTCATATACAGCATTTATTGTACTGAGGAATGATCCATGGATTCCTAATTTTTCCAAAAGACCTCAGAGTCAAAGCAGACACTCTGAAAACATTACAGGATGGAATAGGAGAAACCCGAGATCTCCTTGGCGCAGGCCAAAATTTTCTTTCTTTTTTTTTTTTGTTTTGTTTTCTTTTCTTTTTTTTCCTTTGTTTTATTTTTTAAATTTTTTTATTTTTTTATTTTTATTTTCTTTATTTTAGATTTTTATTTATTTTATTTTATTTGTGAACGTACTGTACAGAGGGGTTACAATTACAGGGGCAGGATAATGGGTACATTTCTTACCAAGTATTGCAGGCTCCTCCTTTGTTTACCCTTCACATCCCTTCCCAGCCTCCCCCCTCCCCCCCAATCCCAATCCTTCCCGACCCCCACCCCCGCACCGACGTGGTAAAGCTCGTTTTGGACATGACAACTTGTACTTCTCATTGTTGCAACAGGTCCACCTGTATCCTTAAACGACTTGTTTTTCCCCATCTCCCCACAAGTTATACTGACATCAAATATAGTGAAAGCAGGGGTTATACTGTGGGGGAGGGACATCCAAAGATACAAAGAAATAATCTTATAAATGAGTTAGAAACACATGCATGAAAGAAAAAAACATTAAAATACATATCTAAGGGCTCATTTTCCTAACATCATATTATCTGACCTTTTCTGCTTGACTCATACATATACTAGATATTGCAAATAAGGGAAACCATGGGGCCTATGTTTCTTTGGGCCTGGCTTACTTCACTTAATATAATTTTTCCAAGTTTTTCTATTTCCTAACAAATGGGGCAATGTCATTCTTTCTGATGGAGGC